TGGGATTTGGGTTTTAAGGGGTCCCTGTCCTTCCTGGCTTTGGGTGCAGAAATTGAGTCAGTGAGTTTCCTGACTTCAGAGTCTGAAGGCATCTGTCTTTCATTAGTTTGTTATCAATAATCAGTGTTATCGTTAACCGATAAACATTTACTGAGCGTTTACTCTGTGCCAGAGAGTGAAACTGTTCAGGGCAGAGTCACAAGTGCCCCTGCCTCAGACAGTCCACATATAGTCACTGGGCCCGTATCCTGTGCCGCTGTGGGGTGGGGACCGGGGTGGGGACAGGTGAGCCCTGAGGGAACTTGCTCCAGGTCAGAAGTCCCAGGGCTTTAATGAGACCTGCCTCCATGCACACCTGCCCGAGCCTCGTCCTGCACGCCCATCTGTGCTTCTCTTTTAGGATGAGTGTGCAGACCATCCGCAGTGTCTTCAGTGTGGAGACCGGCTACCGGCTCTCAGACGATCAGATAGTCAACCACTTTCCCAACCACTATGAACTGACGCGGAAGGATCTGATGGTGAAGAACATCAAAAGATACAGGAAGGAGCTGGAGAAGGAAGGGAGTCCTCTGGCAGAAAAAGATGAAAATGGAAAATACCTCTATCTGGGTTCGTGCCCTTTTTGCTGGCCTTGTGTTTTAAATAGTTTAAAGGTTTTACGTCAGTGGCACAAGGCATGAGATGGTGACTGTTGTTGGCTTTGATGAGTGAACGTGTTTGTGCAAATAGTGGGTGCCTCCCTCATTCCAGGTGTCTCCAGAACAGGGAGAGGGCGGTGGCTCAACTTTGGAATCTGAGTTTGTGTGAGCGCCTTGGGAATGTGCACAGGACCAGGGGGCCACTTCCTGAGCTACAGGCTGCCAGGAGGGGTCATTACTGTATCCAGCAATGCCAAGGGAGAGCCACGTGTCCCTGTCCCATCTGGTGAGAACAGCGGGCTGTCAGATAGTTTCAGAATCCCTTTACATACCTGGGGAAAATTATGAGACCTCTCTGGGCCTCAGTTTCCTCATCTGATAAATGGGAAAGATAACGGTACCTACCTAGCTCACAGGTTGCCGTGGGATGAAATGATACAGATTTGTAAAGTACTTAGCACACAGCTAAGAGAGAGAACTCGTTACAGGCAGACCTCGGAGATCTTGTGGGTAGGGTTCCAGACCACCAAAATAAAGCATATACTTCAATAAAGCAAGTGACACTGATTTTTTGGTTTTCAATTGCAAATAAAAGTTATCTTCGCACTAAAGTGTGCAATAGCATTATGTCGGAAAAATCAATACGCCTACCTTCATTTAAAAGTATTTTACTGCTGAAAAATGCTGACCATCTGAGCCTTCAGCGAGTAGTTCTCTTTTTGCAGTAGTGACATCAAAGATCACTGATCACAGATGAAAGAGTTTGAAATACTGTGAGAATTACCAAAATGTGACACCAAAACATGAAGTGAGCAAAGGTTGTTGGAAAATGGTTCCGATAGACTTGCTTGGTGCAGGGTTGCCCCAAACCCTCAATTTGTAGAAAATGCAGTGTCTGTGAAGCGCAATAATCGAGGTGTGCCTGTGCTGTTCAGGGTCTGAATGGTGGAAGTCCTCACTCTGTGAGATGCTGGGTGGGGGCGTGGGGGAACGAAACAGGCCCTGGAGAGGCGGTGGCAGTGTTTTGCTGTTGTTGGCCCCCGTCGGGCTGGCTAACCGTTGTCTCCTCTCAGACTTTGTTCCGGTCACCTACATGCTGCCGGCTGACTACAACCTGTTTGTGGAGGAGTTCAGGAAAAGCCCCTCCAGCACCTGGATCATGAAGCCTTGCGGCAAAGCCCAGGGAAAGGGCATCTTCCTGATCAACAAGCTCTCACAAATCAAAAAGTGGTCCCGGGACAGCAAAACATCTTCGTGAGTGGGGAACCCATTCTGCTTGCTTCTCGGCAGAAGTCTCGTGTCATTCTCAGCCTTTTGGCCACGGGCTGGGTGGCCCAGACTTGCTTTTCCAGGCGCCAGGGCAAGACTCTGTGACCACAATAGTGCCATCAGTCGTAGAATCTCACCTAGGGATGGCACGTAAACCAGCAGAGGTCACAGCAGCAGGGAGCCTCGTGGGCCACTCTTTGTTCTGAAAGTGGTGGGGAGAACCGATCAGTCAGTGTTTCTGAGGGAGCGAGGCACGTGCTTAACACTTGGGTACCTGGGCTTGAACTCCTGTCTGACACCTACCATCTGGGTAAATTTTGTTGTTTAGACTCTTAGGTTCCTCTTTGGGGTTAACTGGGGACACTCAGCAGCAGCCTGAGGGGGGCGGGGTGGGGGTGGACTGAGTTCATCCACCCCCAGGCGCCAGGCAGCGCGTGCACCCAGTACAACAGCAGACCTAGGCAGCGGGCTGGGTGGATCTGCTCCCGGGGCTGCGGGCCCCTTGGAAGCAAAAACACCAGGGATTTAGTCTAGGGCTCACTCTGCCTTTGAGTCCTTAACTGCCAGGAAATGCCTGGAGGTCACCGTCAGTGCCATCCTTTCCAGGTGTGGCAGGGAACACCACACTCTGTGTTCTCAGGAGTGGCAGGGAACTGCATTTAAGTCTGACTGAACGTAGCCCCTGGGGTGGGTCAGCGCAGGAAGCGCTTCCCTGATGGAGTCTCAGGGGCTGCTGGCACTGTCCCCTGGAGCGGGGACATGGGATCGGGGGTCCTCTGTGGGTACCACCTCCCCATTTTCTCCCCTATGAACTGGCCTCTCACTTAATGGGAGGCAGTGAGCTTGTCACCTCTGGTCTTTGCATCTAATTTCAGCTTTCTCTGACATGCCCAGGTTTGTGTCTCAGTCTACGAAGGAAGCCTACGTGATCTCTCTGTACATCAACAACCCATTACTAATCGGCGGCAGGAAGTTCGACCTGCGCTTGTATGTTCTGGTGTCCACGTACCGCCCACTGCGCTGCTACATGTAAGAGCCGGAGTTCAGTTTCCATTTTGTTTTTTCAATTGGAGGTACCGGGGATTGAACTCAGGACCTCATGCGTGCTAAGCAGGCACTCTGCCACTGCACCCTCCCCCCGTTTCCATTCTTGACTGCTTTGACATGATACTTCCTACTCCCCGCCGTTAGGAGGGTCAGTCGAGCTCAGTGTGCCTGACACGTGGTCTTTGTCGTGTAAGATGGAAACCTCGATGCTAATGTGAATCTTGAAAATAAAAAGCAGCTCTTTTAACCTAAATGTCCATCAACAGATGACTGGATAAAGAAGCTGTGGTATATTTATACAATGGAATACTATTCAGCCATAGAAAATAATAAAATCATGCCATTTGCAGCAACATGGATGGACCTGGAGATTGTCATTCTAACTGAAGTAAGCCAGAAAGAGAAAGAAAAATACCATATGAGATCACTTATATGTGGAATCTAGAAAAAAAAAAAAGACAGACTAACTTATTTACCAAACAGGAACAGACTCACAGACATAGAAAACAAACTTGTGGTTACCAGCATGGAAGAGGGTGGGAAGGGATAAATTGGGAGTTTGAGATTTGCAGATACTAACTAATAT